TGTTATGTTGTAGAGATATTGACTTGATTTTGGGAGCTGTCTTCCCGTATATGAATATTCTTGTTTTCCGTGTGTTGCAGAATTGTTGTCGGTTTTATAGGAAGATGTCGCTCTTTGTTAATTCAGAAAAAAAGGAGTGATATTGTTTAAGACTGGTAGGTAAGGTTGATTTTGGTGAGTTTGAAGTGTATTAATGGGTAAGGTTATATTGTTGGTGTCGGTAGTTGTTATATGTAGTTGTATATGTGTGTTTGTAATTGGTTGTTATATTCATTCATTCATACAGTCATACATTGGTAGGTTATTTCAAGGAATTTGGGTTATAATTCATAAATGTAATAACTCTTTTGGTAGAGATAGGTGGCCCTGAAAAGGGCTGGGGTTTGTTGAAGATTGTTATCTGCTGCGTTGGTTAGGTGTCGTTGCTTGTTTCCTTTTGATTTGTATTCTGAAGCTGCGTTTCGTAGTTCTTTGGTTGTTTTCTCTGCTTCAGTTTTACCCATTGTGCTGGCCAGTTTCTTTGTGAGGGTGTCCACCTGTTTTTTTGTGGAAGGCAAGTCTTGTTTGGCTGTGTAGGGTGGCCGCATCTTTCAAGTCGTTCCAACATTTGTGCAATATTGCGTCAAATGCTTCTATGATGTCAGTCGTCTTTTTCTGGTACCCCACATGGTATTTTGAGGATGAGCCCTTTTGGGATCCCAGAGGGCGAGTTGGTAATTGCTTGTAGTGCGCCTTGGTCTCTTGTTTCCCAAAAGATTTCTTGTTTTAGCGACTCTAGGTTGTTTGTTCTGTGGCATGTTGATTGTTTTTGGCAGTTTTGGCTGGTGTGAGTCCCGGTGTTTCCATGATGTTGCTTTTCACGGGGTTGGTTAGAGTAGGGTGGCGTCTTTCTTGTTGAGGTTCAGCTTCAGCTTCGCCTTAGTTTTGGTTTTGGAAACACAGATTTTTTTGTCTCCATTGTTTGACAAAAACAAATCTTGCTTGCCATTTGCCTTATCTTGCTTGCCATTCTCCTTATCTTGTGACTTCTGTTGGATAATGGTTCATTTAAATCAATTCAATCAATTTCAAAATAATTTTATTTCACAACACAGGCTTTGACACCCCAAGGGGAGTATATATTCCCATAATTGATTTTACAATATACATGAACAACTGTGAGCATTCAAAGTGGAACATACATCTATACATGATATTTTACAATGTGAATACAAAATAAAATAAAAATACAAAAATATGTCATATCATAAATACAAAAATATGTCATCATCATTATAATCCATCAATTTATAATGGGTATACTCTCCCTCATATTTTTACTTTTAACTTTGAATATTTCACTTTTAGCTTTGAATATTTCACCTTTGATCACCTGCAGTTAAGTATCTAGAAAAACATTGCTACTGTAATTAGATGTTGGTCGCAGACGACCTTTTATCTGATATCAGTTTTACATACATAACTATATAAAATGCACTGATATCAATATTTTAGTGTTCAACTTGCTCAACAGAGCAATATTCTATAGCCTAACTTCAGATTTAAAAAAATATATAAAACCAACATAAATACCAAAATTTAATGTTATGAAAAAATGGGAACAAAAGCCATTGCTACATGATTGGACTGATGTAATAAACAAAGAATTGTTTTAACTGTGCTATACCATTTTTGTTCACAATATACACTGCAATGGAAATTCCGTGTACCTTAATACTGTTCCTTCGACTGTATTTGTCATCGTTGTTTGATATTAGGGCAAAACTAAGCAATATTGATTGATATTGTTGATATTAGTCAGAATTAAATTGATGTTGTTGATATTAGGCAGAACTAAGCAATTCTCCATTTGCTTCTCTGGAAAGCTGCGCCCCGGGTTTATCACCTTGTATTCTTGCATAATACTTTATAGGCACTCCCATTCATCATTATCCAGCCTGCCTACTAGCACGTATCTTGACGTACTGCCCTAAATTTCCTTCAATTTGAGTATAATATAGCCATACATACTTTGAAGAGATCAGAAAACTATTGGAAATCCCACATTAGACGGCCATTTTGAATGATACGAGGCACAAATTAGAAAAATGATACATTATTTGTAATCTACTCTAAATTTCCTTTCATTTGAGTATAATAAAGCTATACTTCAGAAAGATCTCAAAATTGACACAATTTCCTGTTTCCCCCCCCCCCCCCCATACACTGCTCCTCGGGGTCAGAGTGAAAAACATGGAATATATGTGAAAAAAATAAATGTTGTGAACATACTATCAAAATTTCAAACAATAGTATTAATTACTTTGGTTTGAATGAAAAACTTAAGATTTTTGCAAAAATATCCCGCCATTTTGGAAGCAGTGGCCATCTTGAAAAAGATTTTTTTGCGTAAAACTATTCACCAATATACATCTTTCTACCAAATATGAAGAAAATCTGTTAACAAGTGATCGAGTTATCTTGCGGATAGACAGACGGACTGACTGATAGACGGAGGGCTTCACTATATCCCTACAGAACTTCATTTGTTCCGATAATTAATGAAAATTCCTGTTTTTCAAACACCCCCCCCTTTACATTACTCCTGGGGGTCAGGCTGAAAAACATGAATACATGTGAAATGTATGTTTCTGGGAAAAATCCTCAACCATTTTTAAAGCAGTAGCCATCTTTAATTTTTTTTGTTGCGTAAAAGTATTCACCAATAAACATATTTTCACTATCTAAATAAATTCCCTTCAATTTCAGTATAATATTGGCTAACTTTGAAGAAATCAGGAAATTATCGCCAAATTCCACATAGGCAGCCATTTTGAATTTTCTGAAACTCAAATCGAAAAAATGATACAAATATTTGCAATCTACTCTTAAGTGATATAACTATAGAACAAGACGCAGGGTGAACAGAATCACACCCTTTAATAGAATACAGTTTTTGGGATGGAACATCCAAAATGGCCAGTGGCCACCCTAACATTTACCCAGACCGCCTAAAAACTAATCAGTTCTAAACTTTCATCCATAGAAACATCTCTAAAATTTTTAAATGAATCCACAAAATAAACTGTTTACCCTTGACATTCACATGTGGCTCAAGGGTAAGAAAGTTGTTCATACTCACTAAAAATATTCTGATACGACTTACCCACATCTCTGCTTGATGTTGCACTCATCACTGCTTACTGATTCTGTAACAAAGGACAATACTTGTTATAAAAAAAAGTCCCTTGGGTACATTATAAATTCGGTTCTTGAACAAATTCAAGCAAATCGATGATTGACAGGTTATGACCAAAACCTTATTTCTGCTATAAAAGTGAACAGACAGATGGACCGACAAATTGGCGATAACAATAGCTCATCCATGTGTGCTAATAAAAGTTTGAGAGAAGTAAACAGCATTGTAATTCAATTGTAAATGATCAGAATAAACTGTCAATTTATAATAAAGATTGTAGGACACAACTTTTATTATTTAAAAGTGCATGTACATGTACACGATACTGGTAGCTCCTAAATGTGCTATAGATTAACATCCATATTGTTGAAAAAGCCTTAGTTTTAACAATGAGCACAGGTTTATGGTTCAGATATTTTGATTGAATTTGACTGTTCATCATCTTGATCAAGTATAGAGACTATAAAATCGAAATCATTAAGCTGTGCTCAGCATGAATTTGACTGAAATATATACAGCTCCCCAACACAATTGAAGTGTCAAAACTGGATGCTTAGTCGCCTAACTTCGCTCAACTATAATCCGTTGATTACCCAGATAAAAACAAATTCAGTTATCAAGAAGTACCATTCAATGTCACACAATACAATTTTCGATATTTTCTAAGTCGATATCTCGACTCATTCCCTGACTAATATCCTTTTTAAAGACTCCATTAAGGTTTTATGTCCTGTTGCAGAACCACTGTTTTCAATACTCTGAAACAGTAATGAGTCCTTGATTTATCTTTACAAATTTAGCCAAATTCCTTAGAGTTTTATGAATTTATATGGGAGTTAGACAGGGGTCCTTTTATGAGCAAAACTCTTCACAACTAAATGTATGTGTTATTAAAAAAGGTTTCCTGTAGTTGTTACGATTCTAATCTGATAAACAATTTTCAAAAAACAACTATTTGCATTCTTCAGATATTAAGTGATCACACACTCCCAAATATAGACCAATAATCAATTCTTCAAGTTATTGTGACAATACAGTAGAACCTGTATATCTGAACACCTGGCTAATCCAAACACCTTCCAATTTGAACACTTTTTTTCGGTCCCATTTTTACCTTCCATAGACTCCCATGTTAAAAAAAACTTGAAATCTGAATACCTCCTAATCTGAACAGTGAACAACCAGAGTTGAAAAAGTGACCAATTGTCAACATAATCGATCCATTGCTGTCTAGCTTGTTTATTTCCTTTGTTGAACACATAGTGAAGGTTGTTTTGGATATTTTTTGTGTTAACAGCATCTGTCAAAGAGCCTGCATCTTGCAACAGTTTGTTGGCAATGTAGACAATGCTGAAAATAAAAAGAATATTTTATATCTACTGCCAATTCTTTATTTAACAAAACTATTATCCTGGTAGGAGATCAAAAACATGTAATAAAGGACCCATGCGCCTGTGTTCGCACAGTTAATTGTTAAAACATTATGTTTGGAAAGGATTAATTTTGTATGGAAAAACTTTCTTTTTGTCCAAATAACATGAATATCTAAGCACAAATGCAAAATAAAAGGGACCATAATCTGTAAAGCTAACTCTACTGTCCAACATGTTTTGTTAAAGAGCAACAATCAAAATAAATTAATATCAGATGGAGGGGGGATCGGATGGAGAGGGGATAACGTGTATACAAGACATGCTACTTGAATTTATTGCTTATAAGCACCTAGTGTGCTTAGACTTAGTTTCTAGATGTGCTTAGACTTGGAATTCCATTTTTTTTCACGCAATGTTCCATTCAGAGAAGGGTAATTCTGCATCCTATACACTGAGAGTAATATCGTGTTTTTTTTAGGAAATACGTCTTTGTTTCCTTAACATAGTCTGAAAACATGAATGCTTTGATGTGTTTTGGAGTAATGAGTTCCTCATGAATGTCACTATGTTTGTTGAGATGATTTTTCTTAGCTAAATTTTTCATTGAATTACACCATATTCTGTTTTGTTTCACGCAAATAAGGAATTCTGAATGTTTGATTGTTTTCATGCTCAAAAGAAGGAAAATATAATAATGTTGAAGTCTATTGAGATTTGCCTTGATGGTGTTTGGCTGCTTAATGTTACCTACTGTCCAATCTAGAGCAGGCTTGATGAAATTATTATTGATTTGGTCAAAATCAAGGGGGTCAAAGTTATCCTCTCCCTGTGCAATCTGCTCAAGAACAAAAGAGACGTCCCTCTTTGTCCTTTGGGTATTATACCCCGTGTGTTGGGCTCCTGGGGGAGTTTTAAGCCATTCCTCAAATAATGGCATGTTTTTGAGGATTCCAACTTCTGATATTTCTTCCTTTTTACATATTTCAACATTCACGCCCTTACACACTTTTTATGTTTGTCAATACGGGTCACCATTTTCAGACATTCCTGACATTGTGTATAATTAAGTTTTCTTGGATTCTTTAATTTTTTCCCGTGCATATTCATGCTTGTACTATTCTTTGTAGTTTTTTGGGATAACATAATTGGGGAATGGATACATTTTTAATTGTACATCACGATGAGCTTAAAACACTTCCTCCAACTAGGTGCCCCCTGGACGAAAGTGTGCCTGGTACGTGCTTCCCTCATACACATCTGTGTTATAATGCATCTTGAAATTGGTAATCTGAAGATAAAAAATATAAGTTTACAGTGGCATGTTACACATTTTTTGAATTTTAAAGCTACCTATGCATCTGCTATGTAACTGTAGTTGAACAGCAAGGGAGGGGGTCATTAGCCCTAAAAATAAGCTCATATGCCTCTGCCAGAGCATTATTTGAAATAATTAAGGGATATGATAGCCAAGTATAAGTTCTTCTGGCATGTAAAATTAAGACATACCAGTCTTCTTCTTCTATTGCGTCAGTGTAATCATCAGCAGTAAACCAGTGCGCTTGAAAGTCAATTAAGTGTCTTTTGAGGGTGCTACGCCTTGTGAAATTCTTATCACAGTACAGGAAAGGGTACCTTACAGGGTCCTTTTTCTCCATGTCTGTAGCTACTACAGGATATTTTCTCTTTGTTGTTTTTGTCCTAGCCATTCAACATGATTGTGAACTAAAGTTGTAAGTGTCTTATTTTTATATTATTTGAGCTCAAAAATCTGATGCCAGGGCATTTCGTAATGACTTCTAAAAAAAGTAATGATTGTGGTTTTTCTTCAACCTGATTTTCTTACACAACAGCCACGGTTGTTCACTTTCTTGGCAGAGAGTTGCAAATGAAAATCTTCGATTCAAATTTTAACATTGTTCCACTACTTCGATTTTGGTAGATTTTTAGTATGTATTTCAAGGTTGATAAATGTAAATAACTAACCTAATTTGATTTCTATTGCAATTTGTTTTGGGTTAAGCTATTTTTTTCATTAGTTTGACTGGGCTAATATGTTATGACTTAGATTTCTAAATCATCTGAAAATATTTATTATTGAGAAGCATATGGATTAACGGCGCACTCATTGTTTAATTAGTGTCTTTTAGTTTTATTTAATTACACTCACATATGTTTTATGGTTCTTTATATATTCGTATGTCTGGTATGACACATTCCACACATACAGTTGGTATTGATGATTAGTTTGCATTTGTAGATAAGTAGAAGATAATAATACCGCAGCATGCATTGATGATGTTGTTAAAGAAAACAGTGTTTTTGTTAGATCCTTCCCGAGTTTTAGGAAAAGTGGGAGGCTTGATGAACTTCCAGTGAACTCTATAGATGTTGTTGTCTTTTCTTATTCATATCTTCCAATGGGGCTCATCAAATGCTTTTCAGCATATTTTGTCTTTAACATACCTTTAAATCTTTTTATTATGTCATGTGATGACAACAATAATATGCTGGCCAGGAGGATGATATTTGGTAGCAGACAATTTCTTTTTAGATCTTTTTTGACTGGCTTAACACTTCTTATTTTGGCTTTTGTATGAAATCATACAATTCTTGTGCTAATATATTTATTTCACATACTCGTTTGAGAAATAAGAATAAATTAATCAGTGAAATAAGGAAATTTGAGGAGTCAAAAATCCAATGTGGAAGAATCAAGAGGCCCTGGTTGCACTTCATCCCCCAGAAAGTATGCACTATGTAGATGGTGAAAACTGAATCCCCTAATGCAGACTTGTGAAAATCATCTGATTACAGCACATTATTTTTCACTGAAGTAGTTGCCACTGTATATGTGTGTGTGAAAGCTATATTCTGGTCACTGTCAAAATTGTGCTCCCTTCCGAAACTGTCTTCTCGTTGGTGACTCTTCGAAGAATGGTTGTATATAAAACTGTTGTATCTTGAAACTCAACCTCCAACCTGTCAATTGCAGAAAAAATAAGTTTTTCAGTTGATCAGAAGCCTTATTTATAAAACCTACATAGGACCTAGAATTTCAAAGATTAGATTAGGACAATTAGATTATAGGTAGTACTTGTTGTGTTGTGGTACTGGAGTTGTGTCCTCCCCGTCTTCCATTTTTAAATATGCAGGCAGTTTGCGCAACTTCTAACCAGTAACCTTCTCTTCAGCAAATAAGACTAAGAAGCATTAATTTCTCATCCTGTACATTTTACTGAGAGTTGTCTTTCAATTTGAAGAAATACTTCTTGTTGGCTTCCTTCACATGGTCTAAAACATGAAGTCTTTAATATGTTTTTACTATGTTACATGTACCAATATAACTGACTCGTATACTGAACTTAATTTTAAATAAGAAATGAAAGAATTCCATTGATTAATTTTTAAAATGATAAAGTCACAATGGAGAAAAAAGTATTTATCGACATGGTAGAACAACATGGTTTGTACCTTGAATATTTCCTTTTCTTATGACAGAATTTAGGTTTCCTTCGTCCTCTTTTCAGTGGTTTCTTCTTTGGTTTTGTCTGTTTAGTGGTATGGTCTCATCTTTTTTCCCTTACACAAATTTACTGGCTCCGGCAGCCTGCTGCCGCAGCGCTGACACATCATTTAAGGCCCTGTCAACTCGGGGCGTGGATGTTAATCTTCGTTTCCTTATTTCACTCCGTTGCATATTGGTATATATGGTATATTTTTGGTATTCTGCCGATATAATTAATAAATCTTTTCAATGTAAGTATTTTTGGAGGATCTTTAATAATTTCAGGCTTTATAAAGATATTTATTCACATGCCATGTCAAAGGACAGCACATTTGTCTCTATTATCATCTATGAAGCTTGAAAAGGTAATTTTAATTTTCAACCTACCCGATAACAATTGTGAGTCTCATATTGCTCTGTTTTTCGTCAAATGTGTTCCATTCAAAGCAAAACAAAACAAAAATGCCTGCCTGTTGGTACATTATTCTGTTATACCACATCCCTCGTTTTAGTGTGGTTTGCGTCACAAGCTGTGGAAATATCTTCTTCACGTAATTCTGCACAGCAGCATCCTCCATGAATGCAGTCTGAAGGCCACTTCCTTGTATTCTTCTCCACACTGCTTGCGTCCAGTGAAAGCAGCATCCTTGGATTTGGATTTTGTCATCAAATCCTGATGAAAGGATGGCAGTCCATGCAGGCTTCTCAAAGCCTAATACCATCTTTTGCAGAAAATTACCCTCTAAATGGAAATTGTAATACAAGAATGTGGGCCCATCTTCAGCACTGCTTTTTTTTCGTGTATGCAGCACACACTTTCTGGCCTGTAGGTATTGGGAAACATTTACCCCCACATTCACTCCTGTAACAACAATAGAGAACTAGAAAAATTGGGAAATTATATATAAATTAATATAAAAATTTAAGTGTGGGAAAATACATAAACTGTTGCATTGCACTGCAGACATACTGCATTCTACGTCTTAGTTAAGACAGTGAAGGTGTTCTTTCCAAAATTGACACAAGATGTAGGCAGGGGTTCCTCAACATATGGTAAATTATTTACTCTATCAAGTCTTCTTCCCGCTTCCTCTTTTCCGTCTTCTTCTTACCATCTCTTACATTTACCTTCCTCTCGACTTTCTCCATCCCCACAGTGTGTTGGACTCCCAACGATAGTAGTTTAACCATTAAATTACTCCATTTTTCTTCTTTGTAAAGCAATTTTTGAATCATTTTCACGCGGAGCAAAGTTGTTGAGATTTAGAATTTCATCATTGAAGAGAGAAAAGATAGAAATTACAGTCCTGAATTCAAGAACACCTTGTCTGGTAATCTGTCAAAGCTGAACCCTAGGTCTGCAAGCTGGTTTGAAAGAAACCTCTGGGAATGGTCCATAGTCTTTGTCTGCATAGGTTTGCAAGGGCAGCTGTGTCTTGTCTTGGGTATCCTTAATTTCAAAAATAATTATTTTTAAATAACTTTAAATTTTTCAAATTTGAAAATAACCATACAATGATATTATTAAATTATCCAAAGTTAAAAGTGAATAAAATTGGTCATTATTCTTTCAACCTTTTTTCTTTAAAGGCTTCTTTTGTTTTTGTGAGACTTTGTTATTTAACCACTTTGTTGAAACAATGAAATACAGTTTACATAGTTGTTTATTCATCACTTATATAAATGTTCATTGTACAGGCAACTGACACCCATGCGGGTGTATATAGTTACATTACATAATTGTATTAATCAAGATGACAAGATATGAAACTGTTTTTAAAGATAGAAAAGTTAGGAGAAAACTAAAAGAAGAGAAAGAACTATACATATATATAAGCACATATAGCTAAATGTTATAAAGATCAATTTAATACTTAATTTAATACAGATAATACTTTTTCAAGTCTGACTTAAATTTATTTCTTGAATTCAGAAGTTTAAAAGTTTCAGGTAATTCATTCCATGTTGTTTGTCCTATGTATTTAATGCTCCTTTGTCCAAATGTAGATTTAAATTGATTAGCTCTAAGATTGAATCTATAACGTGTCTTTTGACCATGAGTTTGAGCATTTGATATGAAGAAGTCATAGAATAGAGTTTGAGGAAATTCTTTAGGTCGTTTGAGACAATTAAATACAAAAAAAATACCAACATTTAGCTTTATTTTCTTAAATTGTAGAGAGGAATCGTTTGTTCTAACACTGTTTGTAATTAGTCATAAGAATCTTTTTTGCACTTTCAGAATTTGAAACAATAGAGCTTTTGATGTTTTACATTCAAAGCACATTAGTTCTAAACTATAATCTATATAATAAATTCTATCAAAATGAAAATAATAAAATAAATTAAGATTAATAGTAAATGTGCATTCACCTTGGATATGTATGCTGCATTGACTCGCTGACCTAGTGGGTGATTTTCATTTGATTTATCAAATATTTCAATTTCCCACCATTTTCAAATAAAAGTTCAGATTTATTAGAGATCAGACCATCCAGATTTTTCTCCTGGACAATCAGTAATGTCCTAATTTAGATGCTCATATAACACATATATCTTAGATATATTTTGAGACCAAATCATGAGCACAGTTTGACCAAGAAATAAAGAAAATCAACAGGACAACCAAAGAATAACCAACTG